AGAGACAAAAGTTTTATGAATATTGGCGCAAGTCGTGTTCAAAAATATTGAACCGTCGATTTCTAATGAGTTTTTTTTCGAGAACTTCTAAAAATCCACATCTTTCAAATCGGGAATATTGCAGGCCTAATAGCTTACAAACCGTTCGATCGATCGAACTGAAATTTTTGTGGATGCACATATCAATGAGTTCGGCTTAGAAAAAATTTTCAGCTCAAATGGTTGAGTCTTCAGTATTCTATGGACTTCACTTATACAGATAAAAAATCACGAATTTTTGCAACTTTGAAGTTTTATATCTTGTGACTATTAATGGATGAAGAGAAAACGTAAGAGATAAAAACAACATGTGAACCAAATAAATTGCGCAGATTTATACTCATAAATTTTCTGTCGCATTATTCATTTGAGTTAAATAATAAAAGTCGACTTACAACATTGTCTTTTGTTAATGGCAACTTTAGTTTACGAACAATAGCTGTACCTATATCATCAAATTGTTTACGAGTCGGATCACTAAATAAAAAAAAATCAATAAAGAATTAAATTCAACCAGTACGACATTAAACTGTTTATTTATCTTGTTCCTTGGTTGATAAAGATATTGTAGCATTAGCATTGTCTGTTCCATTTGAGATAAGAACAAAACTACTACGGTTACCAGAAATCTCCCATTTCATTAAAATCTTGACAAAATTCAATATAAGCTTGTATAGACAAAAGCGCTCAACCATTTCAGGTAATCTAAAATATTTTTCAGTTCATTTTACTGATATAAAATAATTTTCTCATGTACTGTCCGTGGGAACAGATAACTTTCGTCACAATACCGATTTGCCTACTCGAAAAATTACTAGAATTTATTAAACACATGTCATTTAGAATTCAATTACTTATTAAACCTGTTTTGAATGAATCTACGTAAAATGTATGAAAGACCGAGCAACTCAAAAAATAGTACTAAAAATAGAAATTGCTTCTATAAGTATTTCAAATTTATATTTGCCACAAAAAAAATTTTATGAAAGAAATATGTCTGATGCAAGGAGCATAAATTATGTCTTTATTTGAAATCACTCCAAGTCGTTCTTAATTAAGTATAACTTACAGGAGATTGAAATTTTTTATTAAATCATGAGCTATTGTATCAATAAGTACTTGACGATTAGTATGATGTGGTGCAAACTTATGAATTGCACCCGCTTCTATATCTTCAAGCAAGACATTTGGCAATTTTGGAATAAAATATTGTTCAGGAAAAGTTAAATTAATTTCTGGTTTTGTTGATGATTTCTCTAATATTTGATCATTCATACTATTTTCCGTTGAAAAATTGATTTGCGATTTGAAGTAAGAAGAAGAAACTCTAGGATTTAATGTAGAGCTTGATGATGAATCAGAAATGGTGATTGAACTATCGTCGTTGATTTTAAACAATTTTTCTCGCTCTCCTAAAAATAAATGCATTTGCTTTAATTTTGGAAATAATGTTCATTTTTTGATGTTGTCCATCATAAAAAGAGTTTCGCCATCAATTTCATGTTCTAGAAAAGATATGTAATAGATATATAGTTGTGATGATTAAAAATTTTAAAATCTTAAGACTTAGCTTTTTTAAGGAAGCTCCACACTTAGTGCTTTATAAAATTAGAAACAGACATCATGTTTTTTCTTTTAATATTAAAAATAATTAAAAAGTTATGAATTTAAACAAAAACATAACTTTTAAATGTTTTAAATACATTATGTTTCAAATCTTAAGCCTAAAGTAAATTTGTCTATTCTGTTGATGATTCAGGTAGATGAGAGGGTATCTTATTTTAGTAAAGTAGGAAAATTTATTATTGTCTTTAATACGAAGAATCTATTACATGTGGTTGTTCCAAATTTTCGTATTTGAATATAACACGATGATTTTCAGTTGTATCTACCAACGACAAAATTAACCGTACACTTGATTTTTGATCTAAAATATAGAATTTATAGTTAGAAGAAATTTTCTTGGATATATATGAATAGTACAAGTATAGATATTTATAATACAAATAAAAATCAAGTTAATGGTCGATTACTGTATATTTACTTTTATATATTTTGTGTTTGGTCCCTATTTAAATAGGGACCAAACACAAAATATACAAAAGTAAATATACAATAATCGACCATTAACTTGATTTTTATTTGTATTATAAATATCTATACTTGTACTATTTATATATATCCAAGAAAATTTCTTCTAACTATAAACTCTATATTTTAGATCAAAAATCATGTGTACGGTTAATTTTGTCGTTGGTAGTATACTATGTCTAAAATTTATTGATATAAAAAGAAGTATAGAAAGATTTAATGACGATCAGATGCAATTAATTCTTAGTTTGATCAATAAAAAATTTATATATATTTCAATCAAATAAGAACTTGTGGAATACTATGTATCTCTTGTGGGCGTATCAATACAAAGTGAGACGTGCGGTAAATGAAGCAAAACTTGAGTTATCTAATTCGTAAATGTCAAGTCCTTTATAAAAACATTTCAGACAATATAGATCAAGATAGAAGAATTATTCTTTGATTTTATCTCCCAAGCTAATAAATTCTCATTGTGGTGAATAGTTTCCAATATGTCCACTAACAACCACCATTTGTAATTCGTTTTGAGAATACGAACCACTTGAGCAAATCTTGGTGTTTCATAAACATTCATTAAATCTATTACATAAACCCTTGACCGTAGAATAATAAACCCTTTTCATGAAAAGGTAGAACAATATACCATTGATCGTAGAATAATAAACCCTTTCCATAAAAAGAAGTTGAACAATAAACCCTTGACCATAGAATAATAAACCCTTTTCAGAAAAAGGTAGAACAATAAGCCCTTGGCCGTAGAATAATAAACCCTTTTTATAAAAGGTAGAACAATAAATCCTTGACCGTAGAGTAATAAACCCTTTTTCGCTAGTCATAAACCCTTTTTATTTTTGAATACCCTTTTTCTCAGAAAGCCTTTTGCACAAAAACCCTTTACGGGTTTAACACATCAGCATAAACCCTTTAAGGGTTTAGGAAGACTTTCCTAAAGTACTAGGGATTATCATTCTACGAATTTTTTTTACAGCGTAAGAGAATTGATTTTACTGAATAAGAGGGGCGAGCAGTTTGTTTCTAAATCGGTGTTAATTGGACACTACTTCGGAAATAAGTTTTTCCATAGAATTCATGACTCTCTCTCTCTCTTCAGCAGGATACTACT